GCAGGTGCCAGCCCTGGGGGCTCCTCCTGCCCAGGCAGGGGCAGGAGGGCAGGGAGGAGAGGGAGGATGCTCAGCATGGATTTACTCCGGGAATGTGCCAGAATTAGGGGGTGGTGGCACAGGGCACCAATGAGGTCCCCTCTGCCTGCAGGGATGGGCACAGGCAGCAGGGAGAGCAGGAAGCAGCCAAGCCTTGGGGCTGGGATTGTCCCCCTGGCCCCTCAGAAGAGCAGCTGTGACACCAGGAACACCCAGGGGCTTGCACTGGGAACACCCCGTGCTCTGCCAAGGATTTTTCCCCTTTTGGGGGATTTTATATGACACGGGAAGGAGCACAAATCCCTGAGGAGCTCCAAGGCAGCTCCTTCCCACACAGATCCCTCTTGCAGTGCCCATCCAGGACCTTTCCAGGTGGGAAATCTGTTCCTGGGGAGCTTTATGGGATGGACAGAGCCAGCTTTCCTTCCCAAAGCCGTCGGGAGAGCAGAGAGGAAGATAAAGCTGTTAAATTGAGCCAGCAGCTCAGCCAAAGGAGCTTATCCAGCAGCACCCCTGGAATAACCAACCTGCAGCTCAGGAACCTGCAGGAGAGCAGCAGAGAGCTCCAACCACGAGAGCTTCCCTGGGATAAACTAATTAACCCGGGCTCTAACGAGGATGATGATGACAGACAAGAGGGGAAGGAAGCTGCTGAGTGAAAAGCCAGGGAAGGACGAGATAAGGTGAAAACTAATTGTGTTTGGGAGGATAAGCAGGTCCTGGTGCAGCTGCTGCTTCCCAGGAATTATCCAGGCTGCCTCAGCTGCAAGGTGCTGATTTTTCGAGGCTTGGCCCAATGTGATTTCAGAAGGGATTTTTTTATTCCCACCGATCCTGGTGCTTGGAGTCCATCATTCCCATGTGAAATGAAGGGATTTAGACTCCAGCCTCAGCATGGCTGCATCTGAGCCCATCCCAGATGGTCTCTTAGATCCCTTCCAACCCAATCCACCTGTGATTCCCTGATTCCCTGATCCTCTGATTCCCTGATCTGTGATTCTCTGATTCCCTGATCCTGTCATTCTCTGATCCTGTCATTCCCTGATCTGTGATTTCCTAATTTGTGATTCCCTGATCCTGTGATTCCATGATTCCTTGATCCTGTGATTTCCAAATCTGTCATTCCCTAATTTGTGATTCCATGATTCCTTGATCCTGTGATTTCCTAATCTGTCATTCCCTGCTCCTCCATCATTCCCTGATCTGTGATTCCCTGCTCCTGTCATTCCCTGATTCCCTGATCTGTGATACCCTGATCCTGTCATTCCCTGATCCTGTGATTTCCTAATCCTGTGATTCCCTAATCTGTCATTCCCTGACCCTGTCATTCCCTGATTCCCTGCTCCTGTCATTCCCTGATCTGTGATTCCCTGATCCTGTCATTCCCTGATTCCCTGCTCCTGTCATTCCCTGATCTGTGATTCCCTGATCCTGTCATTCCCCGATTTCCTGCTCCTGCCATTCCCTGCTCCTCCCTCCAGCCTCCTCCCTGCCCACCCAGCTCCTCGATTCCCTTGCACATCCCTAATCAAAGGCATCATTAATTAATTAATCCCTGGCCTGACCCAACACCCACACCCCACCAGCACCATCCCAGCCCCACCCTGGATGGGGTTTGGAGCAATCCTGGCTTCTCCATGGAGCCAAACCCCTCCAGCTGGATCCTGCCCAGCTCAGAGCTGCCTCTCCACGAGCCCCAGACCTGTCCCTGCAGCCACCCCAGCAGCAGGACCAGGACACCCCTGGCCATTCCCCCAGGGAATTTGGGTGGACAAAACCCCTCCTGTGCTCTAAAGGGAGTGGATTTGGGGGGTTTGCACCATGCACGAGGGAAAAACGCACATGGAAAGCTGGGCTGGAAGTGAGCAGGGAATAAAACCGTGCGAGGACAAGCAAAAAAATCCCTGGCTCAGTGGAGCAGGATGCAGCCACATCCTTTTCCATGGAATGGGGTTTCATCCCTCCTCCCCACAAAGAGGCTGAGCCCAGAGAGGGAGAAAAGCAAGAGAAGAGCCTGAAAAGCAAGAAAACCTGAAAATCCGACCGAATCCCTCAGCTCCTTCCTCCCTCTTCCAGGCTGGCTGTGAACACACACGGACACATCCCGCTTTTCCCATCCCGCTTTTCCCATCCCGCTTTTCCCATCCCGCTTTTCCCGTCCCGCTTTTCCCGTCCCGCTTTTCCCGTCCCGCTTTTCCCGTCCCGCTCCGGGCACAGCAGGGAGACCCTTGGAGAAGCCTCGCTGAGGATGGATGCCACTCGAGCCTGAAATGCTGGTTTTTCCCAGGCTGAATCCCTAAATCCCAGCCCCAAAGGGGGCGATCCAGGCGGAGGGAGCGGCCCCGCGGTCCCGGTGGGATGGGGTGGGATGGAGCGGGACAGCCGCCCCTGGCAGCGATTTTTTGGGGATCCGTGGGGCTCCAGCACCGTCTCTCCAGCCCTAATTACTATGGAAACAGCCGGCGCCGGCCTGTCCTCCTTCGGTGACTCACCGGGATTCAGGAGCCCCTGGAATTCCAGCGGGAGCATCCGCGGGGCTGCCGGGGGGGATGGCGCTGCCCACCCCGGGAAAATTGCGTTTTTATTGCATTTTCCATTTGGCATGGGGTGGCAAAAGCAGCAGGTGGGATTGGGGATGAATAACAGTAATAACAGTAATAATAATAATAATAATAATAATAATAATAATAATAATAATAATAATAATAATAATAATTCCTATAAATATATCTAAATATATAATTATAATAGAGCTTCTTCACCAGCTCACAGCCACCAATCCATGGGAATCCCTTTAGGATTGCCTGCTCCTGGTCTTGAGAACCCCCATGCCACGAAGCAGCCTCAGTCACCACCTCCCCCCAGATCCAAAATGTGCCCCACCAAGCCACCAGCAAGGAGAAAACCCCACGAGCTCCTTCAGGCTGGTGCACCATCCACTGGCAGCAGAGCTGGCAGCTCCCAGGGAAGCTGGGAGAGAGGGATGGGCACGTGTGGAGGGACCACGGGGCCTCCCAAGCTGGGAATGTCCCATTTTGGGGACAAGGCTGCCTCCAGGCCTTGTCCAGGTGATGCTGAGACAGCCAGGCTGATGCTCCAGGTGAGCAGCCAGCAGCACAGCGCACCAAGCAGCATCTCTGCCTCCTCCTGCAAGGCTGGAAATGCCTAAAAAAATCCCCAAAATTGGTGCCAAGGAGCAGCTGGGGCCATGCCCAGCCTTGTAGGGCCAACACAGAAGCTGGGGTGGGATGGGGCTGAGCCCCACCCCTGAATCCCACGAAACAGGGTGGGAAAAGCGCCCTTAAAACCCGGGGAGCACCTCCAAACCCCCTCCCAGAGAAAGGCTTGGCCCCAGGGCTTTCCTGGCAATAATTAATTGAGTCATATTTCAATCCAGCCAGCGGCCATATGGTTGGAAAGAGGATTAAAAATCTGCATGCTCCAGTTGCATTCAGGGAAATCCAGTTATAAGGAAAAATCCTCCGTGCCTGGCTGCAGCCTGCTACCACCCATCCACACGGCCCCAGCCCCTTCTCCGGGAGAGAGGAGCTGGGGATGATGGATCAGGAGCAATTCGGGAGGGCAGGGGGAAATGGGGAAAGAAATAAGAGCAGCAGGAAATGGGGAAAGAAATACGAGCAGCAGGAACAGCAGAGGCAGATCACTGCTGCTCCCAGCCCCTGCCCTTTGGGCACCGTGCTCTAAGTTCATTAGCAGCTCATTAGCGATTGATTAATGAGGGGGTATCGCTGTGAGGTCAGGATTGGCCTTAAATAATTTAATAAATATAAATCATTTTCCACCAGAATGGTGGGATCTCTGACAGGGATGGGAAGGGTCCTTAAAGCCCATCCCATTCCACTCCCTGCCATCCACACCTTCCCCAAGCCCTGTCCAACCTGGCCTGAAACAATTCCAGGGATTTGGGGCAGCCCCAGCTGCTCTGGGCACCCCGTGCCAGGGCCTGCCCACCCTCCCAGCCAGGAATTTCCTCCTCATTTCTATTCCAAATCTTCCCTGTGTCAGTTTTTTGCTGGATTCCCCCCTCCCAGCCCTGGACCAGTTTTCCTCGAGCTCATCGCGTGATTTTCCCGGGAATCCTTCACCCAAAGCACTGCTGGGAAAACAGGGATTTGGATAGAAAGGAGAGGGGCATGGCTGTGGGGAGGGACCTGCATGGACATCAGCCCCAAACCCCTCCAAGCCAGGCTGGGGCTGATCCCAGCACAGGCTGCCGCAGGGATTTGGGATCGGGAAAGTCTCCCCATTCCTTCCTTCCTTCCTTCCCGTGATTACAAAAGATAAAAAAATCAGGGAAGAAAGAACACTACGTCTCATTCATCCCCGGAGAAAGCCTCGCCTGTGATGGCAAATCAGCTGATTAAGGAGGATCAAACCCTTTAAATCCAACCTTTGTTGGGAGCCTGAGCTCGCTGCACAAAGCACCTTCGACCCCAGCCGCGCAGGGTGGGACCCCGGGCTCCCCTGGGCTGAGCGGAATTGGGGGATTTGGGAGATTTCTGCTGATTTAGGAGCGGCTCGGTCCCCACGGGGCTCAGGGACAGCGGGTGGGGACAGCCCTGCCCAGCCCCACCTGCGCCAGCGCTCCCAGTGATCCCAGTGATTCCATTGCCAGCCCTTCCAGTGCTCCCAGCGCTCCCAGTAACAGCCCTGCCAGCGCTCCCAGTGCTCCCAGTGATTCCATTGCCAGCGCTCCCAGCGCTCCCAGTGCTCCCAGTGCTCCCAGTAACAGCCATCCCAGTGTTCCCAATGCTCCCAGTGCCAGCCATCCCAGTGTTCCCAATGCTCCCAGTGCTCCCACTGCCAGTGCTCCCAATGCTCCCAGTGCTCCCAGTGCCAGCCATCCCAGTGCTTCCAGTGCTCCCAGTAACAGCCCTTCCAGTGCTCCCAGTGCTCCCAGTGATTCCACTGCCAGTGCTCCCAGTGCCCCCATGCCGTACCTGGAAGCGGTGCCCCGGTCCCCGCGGGGCGGGCGGCGGCGGGACGGACAGACGGACAGAGGGATGGACGGACGGACGGGCGGACGCTGGGATGGAGGAAGGGATGGAGGAGGGAGGGCCGGAGGGATGCGGCCGCAGCAGCAGCAGCAGCAGCAGCAGGAGGAGGAGGAGGAGGAGGATGGTGGTCAGCAGCAGCCCCGAGCGGCGAGTCCCCACCCAGCTTTGTCTGCGCTCATCCCGCTGCCTACAGGAAGCGGCTCAGCCCCGACTTCCTCCTCCTCCTCCTCTCCTCCTCCTCCTCCTCCTCCTGCTGATGCTCTGCGCTCCCCCGGCGTTCGCGGATCGCTCCTGCCCAGAGCCCGCTGCCTCCTCCCTGCCTGCCCTCACCCTGCGCAGGTCCCGCTCCCTGTCCCTGTCCCGCTCCCTGCCCCTGCCCCTGTCCCTGTCCCTGTCCCTATCCCTATCCCTGTCCCTGTCCCTATCCCTGTCCCTGTCCCTGTCCCTATCCCTATCCCTGTCCCTGTCCCTATCCCTGTCCCTGTCCCTGTCCCTATCCCTGTCCCTGTCCCTATCCCTGTCCCTATCCCTGCCCCTATCCCCGTCCCTGTCCCTGTCCCTGCCCCTGTCCCTATCCCTGTCCCTGCCCCTATCCCCGTCCCTGTCCCTACCCCTGTCCCTGTCCCTGCCCCTGCCCCTGCCCCTATCCCTGTACCTGTCCCTGTCCCAGCTCCTGTCCCTGTCCCTGTCCCTATCCCTGCCCCTATCCCCGTCCCTGTCCCTATCCCTGTCCCTGTCCCAGCTCCTGTCCCTATCCCTGCCCCTATCCCTGTCCCTGCCCCTGTCCCTATCCCTGTCCCTATTCCTGCCCCTGTCCCTGTCCCAGCTCCTGTCTCTGTCGCTGTCCCTATCCCTGTCCCTGTCCCTATCCCTGCCCCTGTCCCTATCCCTGTCCCTGCCCTTATCCCCGTCCCTGCCCCTGTCCCTGTCCCTGTCCCTGTCCCTTGGATGGTCCCTTGTCCCTCGGCCACCCCATGTTGCCCCGACCCCGCACCCCAGACCCGCTCCGTGCCCACCCCACACCCGTGTGCACTCCCAGTTCCTACACCCGCCCCATACCCCCCGAGCCCCTCCTGCACCCTCTGCGCCCACCACACCCCTAAACCACCCCTGAGCCCCACACACCCATCCCTGCACCCCGCAGCCCCCCTAAACCCACCCCTGCCCTCTCTCAGCCCCTGCGCTGCTCCAAACACCCCATGCCTGGATCCTTCCATGTCCCTGGAGCCCCCAAAACCCCGGATCCCTCCCAGCGCTTCCCTCCCCACCAGTCCCCCTCCCCCTGGCACCCCAAACCCCTCCCTGCCCCTCCAACCCTTTCCAACTCCAAGGTTTCCATTTAGGGCACAGCTCGGGGGATCACTCAGTATTTTTATTTTATTTTATTTTATTTTATTTTATTTTATTTTATTTATCTTATTTTGGTCTTTATTTTATTTTATTTTGTTATTTTATTATTATTTTATTTTATTATTATTTTATTTTGTATTATTTTTTATTTTATTTCTTATTTTATTTTGTATTTTTTATTTTGTTTTATTTCTTATTTTATTTTATATTATTTTTATTTTATTTATTTTTATTTTTATTTTTATTTTATTTTGGTTTATTTTGTTTTTTATTTTATTTTCTTTTGGTTTATTTTGTTTTTTATTTTATTTTCTTTTGGTATTTTATTTTATTATTATTTTATTTATTATTTTATTTTATTTTATTTTATTTTCAGTCAATATCAGCCCACATGCCCAATTTGGGGGATTTCAGGTGGAAGATTCTGGAGGCATGAGGGATGGGGTTTTTATGAGGTGGCTTTTCCCTTTTTCCTCCTTCTGCCCCAGCCCAGCTGTGTCCTCATGGAAATCCTTCCCTGGCAGGGTGGGCAGGGCCTGGCACAGGTGCCCAGAGCAGCTGGGGCTGCCCCAAATCCCTGGAATTCTTCCAGGCCAGGTTGGACATTGGGGTTTGGAGCAGCCTGGGATAGTGGAGGGTGTCCCTGCCATGGCAGGGGTGGGATGGGATTGGATTTAAAGCTCCTTCCAACCCAAACCGCTCTGGAATTCCATGATTTTCTGAAAGTGCACGATGATTTTCTGGATTTAAGGTTCCTTCCAACCCAAACCGCTCTGGAACTCCACGATTTTCTGAAAGTGCACGATGATTTTCTGCTGTGCCCTTTGCCCGGGGGCAGAACTGGGGAGGGGCACAACCCCCAAAACCTCCCAAACCAGCCCCAAAACATCCTAAAGCAACCCAAACCAGCCAAAAAACCAGCACAAGGCAGCCCAGACCAGCCCCAGACCAGCCCCACAGCAGCAGCAGCAGCAGCAGCGCCGAGGGATGCGGCTCATTTTGGGAGCATCCCCGCAGGGTGGAGCGGGAGCCGCGGGGGCCCCGGGGCCGTGTCCGTGTCCCCTCCCCGGGCCGGGCTCCGCTCGCTGTCGCCGCCCGGGTTTCCCCTCCGGTTTCCACAGCAACGCCGGTGACAGATTTCCGTCCGTGACTGATTTCCTCCGCTGCCCTGCGCAGGGGAGCTCAGCCCTGGCACATCGCCCCAAAAATCACTGAGCTGTCCCTGCACCCGGCTGGCACAGCCCAAAAACCCACCCCGAGCTGTCCCTGCAGCCCTGACACCCACCTAGGATATCCCAAAAACCCACCCAGCCCTGACACCCACCTGGGATATCCCAAAAACCCACCCAGCCCTGGCATCCACCTGGGACATCCCAAAAACCCACCCTGCAGCCCTGGCACATCACCCCCACATCCCAAAATCCCACCCAGAGCCGTCCCTGCAGCCTTGGGACATCCCAAAACCCCACCCAGCCCTGGCACCCACCTGGGACATCCCAAAAACCCACCCAGTCCTGGCACATCGCCCCAACATCCCAAAATCCCACCCAGAGCCTGGGACATCCCAAAATCCCACCCAGAGCTTGTCCTGCAGCCCTGGGACATCACCCCACATACCAAAACCCCACTCAGCCCTGGCACCCACCTGGAACATTCCAAAAACCCACCTGAGCCATCCCTGCAGCTCTGGCACATCACCCACATCCCAAAATCCCACCCAGAGCCATCCCTGCAGCCCTTGCACCCTCTGGGACACCCCAAAAACCCACCCAGAGCCTGGGACATCCCAAAAACCCACCCAGAGCTGGTCCTAGAGCCCTGCACATCACCCCCACATCCCAAAATCCCACCCAGAGCCGTCCCTGCATCCCTGTCCCCCCTCCCCAGTGCCCCCAGCACAGCCCAGGGGTCCCGTGGGGCTGCACTCATCACAAGCTCTGCCTCCAGTGATGGTTTCAGGGTGCCAGAAATCCCCTAAAAAGCCCCGGGGGATGTTTGGTGATTGTCACCAGTTGGTCACTGCTGCCTCACTGGGGTGGTGCTGGTGGGCACAGCCAGCCCTGCCTGTTTTGGGGGGGTGTTGGTAAAAAATGAGGGTGCAGTGCCAGGCACCCACAGGGGCACAGCCATCCCTGCTGAACAGCAGCAGAAAGCAAAGGGGAGGGGAATTAATTAGTAAATGAAGGATACCACTGGAATGCCGTGGTTTTATGAAAGGGAGTTCCTGGGTCCCCCAGGCAGGGGGCACAGCAGAAATGAGGAGGGGCACAACCCCCAAAACATCCCAAAACAGCCCCAAAACAGCCCCAAAACAGCCCAAAACAGCTGAAAACAGCCCAAAACAACCCAAAACAGCCCCAACATATCCCAAACCAGCTGAAAACAGCCCCAAAACATCCAAAACCAGATGAAAACATCCCAAAACAGCCCCAAACAGCCCCAAAACAGCCCAAAACATCTCAAAACATCCCAAAACAGCCCCCAACAGCCCCAAAACATCCCAAACCCAGCCCAAAACAGCCCAAATCATCCCAAAACAGCCCCAATATTGTGCATTTTGCTCCCTAAAATTGGCGTTTTGCCTGTGGTCGCCCTACAAATCCCAAATCTCCGCCTGCTCCATCCAGCCCGGAATTGTGATGGGAGCTGCAACATTTGGGAGTGCAGCCCCTGGAGCAGAGATGGCCCCGGAGCAGGGGAGTTTGTTTTGGTTTTTTTGTGGTGTTTAAATCCATGGAACGGCAGCGGGGAGCAGCTGGAGCAGCTGGAGCATCCCAGGGAAAAGGGCAGGGATGGGAACTCAGGGACCTTTCCCTCCCCTGGGGACCTCCCCCGTGCTGGGATGAAGCAGGAATGGAGGTCAGGGCATCAGAGGGAAGGGGGATTTGTTAAATTCATTCCCATTCAGCCTCCCCTGAGCACAGCCCACGGGCAGGGCAGAGCTCCCTCCCCTGCTCACCCCCTCCAGACCCTTCCCCATCTGGTTTGAGGAAAATTCCGGGGTTTTATGGGCCAGGAATGAAATCTGCAGGCTATACTTAGCAGCAGACAATGCAGTCCCCCCTCCCAGAAGTGGCTCATTCCCTCCTGCTCCTCCCTCCTGCCCCAAAAATGTCGGGTTTGAGCAGAAATCAGCAATTAGGGCCCCGGACCTGCCGATGGCCAGCGGGATATTTATAGAGGACAAAGGGAATTTGCTGGGAATGTGCAATTATCTCTGGAGCCTGTGGGAAAGGCTCTGGGTGCTCCTGGCAGTGGGCATGGGGAGGGGCAGTGGGGGCACAGCCCCACATCTCCATGCCAGGATCCAGGGCCCCAGCCTGCAGGGGAAAAAACCACTCTGGAGGCTTCCCTGATGCTGCTTCCCCATGGAAAACAGGCTCTTCATCATCATCATCATCATCATCATCATCATCTTCTTCTTCTTCTTCTTCATGGATTCTCAGCATGGTTTGGGTTGGAAGGGATCTTAAATCCCATCCCATCCCACCCCTGCCATGGCAGGGACACCTTCCCCTGTCCCAGGCTGCTCCAACCTCACCTTGGACATTTCCAGGGATCCAGGGGCAGCCCCAGCTGCTCTGGCAATCCCAGCCCAGCCAGGAATTCCCAATTCCCAATCTCCCACCCATCCCTGCTCTCTGGCACTGGGAGCCATTCCCTGGCTCCTGTCCCTCCATCCCTTGTCCCCAGTCCCTCTCCAGCTCTCCTGGAGCCCCTTCAGGCCCTGCCAGGGGCTCTGAGCTCTCCCTGGAGCCTTCTCCTCTCCAGGTGAGCACAATTCCCAGCTCTCCCAGTCAATGGGGACACTGAAAGGTTGTGGGTGTTGGCACCTTCCACAGTTTTCCTTGGCTTTAGGAAGGAGGTGCCAGGATCAGCAAACCTGGCCCAAAACTCACGTGGAAAATAACTGGCCAATTATGTTCTGAGTTTAATTAGCACCAGTGGGAGATGGGAGGGTGGTCCTGGGTGCTGTGGAGGGGAAAGGCAGCACAAACCTTCCATCAGACACTGGAGAATCCACGAGAGCCACCCAAAACCATCAATCCCACAGCTCCTGAAGGCTGGGAACCCCCATGAGCATCCCACTAGGGACACTCCATACTCGCACTTATTCCAGGAGCTCCCCCTGCACCTCCTCCCAACTCCAGAGTGTTAGAACTTCCTAAAAAATCACCAAAACCCACCAAAAAACCACCAAAAACCACCAAAAAACCACCAAAACCCATCAAAACTCAGGATTCAAAGGCTCAGCCCATCCACTGCCCTGCCTGAGGCAGGAGTTGCCATAACCTGAGCTGGGATCACCGGAGCAGAGAACCCCAATAAATGCAAGGTCATCCTTAAATCCAGCCCTGCTCCATCTCCCCCTTAAGCCTGGGAGCATTTTCCACCTCCAAGAGTCAAAGTGATGCAAACAACTGTCACTTTATTGTCACCTCCAGCCGTTCTGCAAAAGGCACACAACAAACTTCATTGGTACAAAAGAATTTTGCTCCGGGGATTTTTGCTCGGTTTTCCTGGAGTTTGTTTTCTTTTTTTTTCTATTTTTTTAATTTTTTTTTTCCTGCTCCTTTTGCAACACAGTCACTGGGCTCTCCCATCAGCCCTGATGGGAAGATCCTTTCACAGAAAGGATTATTTTTGTGCAGACAGACAGATCCTTATTGCAGGGGGAACAGCCCCAAGGGCAGCAGGGCACGGCCACCTGTGGGAAAACTGGGAATAAATGGCACCTGTGTGTGTCCCCCTATTCAAATGGCACCTGTGTGTGTCCCCCTATTCAAATGGCACCTGTGTGTGTCCCCCTATTCAAATGGCACCTGTGTGTGTCCCCCTATTCAAATGGCACCTCTGTGTGTCCCCCTATTCAAATGGCACCTGTGTGTGTCCCCCTGCTCCAATGGCACCTGTGTGTGTCCCCCTATTCCAATGGCACCTGTGTGTGTCCCCCTGCTCCAATGGCACCTGTGTGTGTCCCCCTGCTCCAATGGCACCTGTGTGTGTCCCCCTATTCCAATGGCACCTGTGTGTGTCCCCCTGCTCCAATGGCACCTGTGTGTGTCCCCCTGCTCCAATGGCACCTGTGTGTGTCCCCCTGCTCCCTGCCACTGCTGCTGTTTGTAGGGACAAGCTCCATCCCAACCCCACTGCTCCACCCCAGCTCTGGGTGCAGGATAATGGGATGGGGCAGCCCCCTCCCCATTCCTCAGCAGTGTTTGCACGTTTCTTTGCACATTTCTTTACACGTTTTATCCCTTTTTTTCCCCTCCAGCTCTGTGTTTCTGCAGGGTGAGGGTCCCAAGGAGAGCACCCAGAGAGGGGCAGAGGGAGGGGAAAAAAAGGCTGGGGATGAATTTGGGGAATTTTCCTGCCTGTGCCAGCATGGAAACTCACACTGCAAACCCAGCTGTGACTCACAAATGTTACCCCAGCACCCAAAGAGAGGTTTCTGGGGTATTTGGTGGGGTGTCCCCCAAACCAAAGCATCTCCCCAGCTGCTCTGTGTGGATTTAGGGAGACAAGGATGCTTCAGGGACCCCCATCCTGCCCTGCCAACATGGGATATTGACATTATTTGCCCATAAAACCCCTCAGGCAGGGCCAGATCAAGCTCTGGGTTAGGGGCACAGTGCCACAGTCCCACAGCAGATCTTCCATATCCCAACATCCCAAGAGATTTTTTTTTATTTTTTGCACTGTGCCTATAGCTCCTCTCCATTTCTTTTGGTACCAGCTCCCATTTCTCAGCTCCCTCCCCCAACATTTCTTATAAAAATAAGATTGTGCTTATTTATAAAATAATTATATTTTTTTGTTTGCTTGTTTTTTTTTTTAAGAAAAGCTTCCAGTTTAAAAAAAAAAAAAGGTGGTGTATCAAAATATGGCAAAACTTTGGCTGTCAATGGCTAAACTCTAATTAAAAATATCCACTACAAAGGCATTGTGCTGTGATAATTAACTCTGCAATCAGCAAATATTCCACCTGGGCTGTCTGCCTTCCCTGGGACACACTCAGAAACCACCCCTGGATTTTCCTAGCACGTCACCATCATCCTCTGGCAGAATTATTCCAGCTGTAAGACACCTAAGGATGCATGAAAAGCCTTGGGGAAAGGGAAGGGAGATGCAGTGGGAAGAGCCACACAGACAAGGCAAGGATGCACATTCTCCTCGAGAGGAAAGTCTGTTTTCTCACCTTGGTGCTTAAGAAAAAAAAAATAGGATTGTTGATAGAGTTCATGAAAGAAGAGAGGCAGATCTTTCGTATAAAAGGTGTTTCAGAGCAGGAGTAAAATGCAAATGGGTCTATAAGATCCAGACATATATAAACATACATACCTTGATATATTTATATATGTATTCTCTAGATATTCAATGTTTGGAATGCATTATTGCATTATCCTTATAGGAGATTTATTTTTTTCCATCCTGCTTTGCTTTCTTTTTTTTTTTTTTTTTTTTTGTGGGGGGAGGGTTCTTTTCTTTTTTGGTTTTGGGGTTTTGCTCTCAAAAAAAAAAAAAAAAAAAAGAAAAAAAAAGAGAAAAATATAAAAAACAAGTTGCAAATGGCTCTGAGAGCTTCCAGCCATCATCCACCTGGCTGGGACTGCTGTGGCCTGACCTCCAGCACGTGTTTTTGGAAAAAGCTGGGCTCATGCTCTGCCCCAGGAGCTGCTGGCCATGCCTTCCTCCATGGAACGTCACCATGCCCGGAGACCCCTGGCTGGTTATTGCTTAATCCTCCCTTCCCATACTGGCCTTTAGGGTTATTTACATTTCTTTGGCTTGGCTTGAACACGACAGTCTGGCACTTTCCATCCACCCCAGAGTCACCTGGGGGCGAGGAGGGGGGGAGAGAGGCCACGACAAAACACAGGGGGGCTTCTGCCAGCTCCAGCTGAGCTGTGCCCCTGCCAGCCGGGACAAGACAACTTGTGTTTGGCACAAACTCCTCTGGAATCCGCTCCGTGCCCTGGGGGATCCCCATCCTGCCCCTTCTGCAGCAGGGACAAGGTCTCCAGCATGGTCTGCAGGGAGCAGGGCAGGGCGGCGCTGGAGCCTCGCCACGCTCACACCACGAACTCGGGCACCTCGTCGTGGGTCAGATCCAAGGAGAAATATTTGCTGGTTCTTTTCACAGGGAAGGTGTCCTGGATGTTGATGCACTGCTGGGCCAGGCAGCCGTTGCAGTAGAGCCCCTCGTGGTCCAGGCCGTGGGCGCAGCCGAAGGTGAAGCTCTGCGCCGTGTCCTGGCACAGGTTGGCCAGCTGCAGGAAGTCCTTCTGGTAGAGCCTGATGTCATCCAGGCTCAGGCTGTGCCTGTCTGTCGATGTCTTGGGTTTCCTGCTCGTTGTCTGGGAAAAGCCAAGAGGAGGCTCAGAATGTGCCAGGGCGCCCCTAAGGCTCACAGAATTCACAGAATCACAGAATTCACAGAATTCACAGAATCACAGGAGGTTTTGGAGACACCAGCATGGCTTTCTCCACTGGATGATAAGAACTACAGCATCCCATTGGGAGATGTGAGCCCAGAGGGAGGAGCCAAGCATTCCTCCCTGGATATAATCTGGAGATTCTGGAACACCAGCATGGCTTCTGCACTGGATTGCCCAGAGGAGCAGCAGCTGCCTCTCCTTCCCCTGGATCTGCAGAGGAAGAGACTCCACCCTTCTCCAGGATCCCTGCTCCAGCAGAGCCACCCCTGGCACTGCAGGAGGGCTGAGCCACAATTCCAATGGGGCTGCTGCCAGCACCCTGACCCACAGGGTGTCAGGCTGGGTTCTGACTCTGGCACTGTTGGTTTGGTTCACTGCATTGATCATTTTATCCTTTTATGTTTTTCCTTTCCCTATTAAAGAACTGTTATTTCCTGTTCCCATATTTTTGCCTGAGAGCCCCTTAATTTAAAATTTACAGCAATTGGGAGGGGTGAGGAAGGTTCACATTCTCCATTTCAGGGGAGGCTCCTGCCTTCCCTAGCAGACTCCTGTCTTTCCAAACCAAGACAGTGATTCCACCACCTCCCTGGGAAGAGCTTTATTCAGTATAAAGTATTCCAGTACTTTATTATTCTTTCAGTGAAAAATTTTTTCCTAATATCCAACCTGTGCCTTCCCTGGTGCTGCTTGAGGCTGTGTCCTCTGGTTCTGTCAGAGACCGACCCCACCTGTCTGCAACCCCCCTCAGGAAGTTTGAGAGAGCAATGGGGTCACCTCTGAGCCTCCTTTTCTCCAGGAATGTTGGGAATCCCAAAGCCCCAGCCCCACGTACCTGGGGTAAGGAGTCGGTGCTCTGCCCCCGCAGCTTCACCACCGTCTCTGAGGAGCTGGAGGTGGAGGAGCTGATCTCCTTCACGATGAGTCCTGCACAAAGGAGGGTGCAAAGGTTATTTTGGGGTGGCTCAGCTCTCCTGGCATCCACTCCTGCTGTCCATGGGGACAAAGGCTGCCCCAGTGCAATGCGGTGCCTTCAGCCCAACAGCTCCACTTGCAAACGGCATTGCCTATAAAGCATCCCAAATCTGCCCCAAATTGGCATCCAAAGCTGTCCCCAGGGAGCCTGGCATCTCCAAAGATCTCCCAGTAGCTCCCAGCTCAGAACTGCAAGTGACTTTTGGGGTGCAGGCACAGCTCCAGAGAAGATCATGGAGTCCAACTGTTCACCAGCAGTGCCAAGGCCACCGCTGTCCCCTGTCCCCAAGTGCCACAGCCACATGGTTTTCAAATCCCTCCAGGGATGGGGACTCCACCACTGCCCTGGGCAGCTGTGCCAGGGCTGGACAAACCTTTCTGTGAGGAAATTTTCCCAACATCCAATCCAAACCTCCCCTGGCACAACTTGAGAGAAGTTCCTCTTTTCTTTACCCCATCTCTCCTTCAACCCATTGGGTGAACAGTTTTTCCCAGCATCCCAAAGAGACACCTGGGGCTCACTCTGCCCTTCCAAACACCAAAGAACCACGGTCCTAGGGTGACGTTGTGATGTCTGTATCCCCATTCCTGTGTTCTGTTCATGCTGGATATCATGTTCTGTGACTTCCAGACTGGCTCTGAAGAGTGAATGTTTTGTTTTGTTTTGTTATCAGTTTTGGTTTCTTATCAGCCACTCCCCCATGGCTGGCAGGACACACAGACAGGGCAGTACCTGGTGCTGCTTTTGCTTTTTGCTTTACTTTTCACTTTGCTCTTGCTCTTGCTCCTGCTCATTAGTTACTTCAGCTAAACAGCCCAAATTTTCCCTGGGCTGTTTCTCCTTTCCCTTTTTTGGGCCTACTCGAGCCTGCTCCGGGCTGGGGCCTGGCAAACACCGAGAGTTTGCACCTTGTGGCTGCAGCAGCTGCCCCAGCACAGGAGGGACTGAGAACAGAGCGAGCACCCCAGAGAGACTTTCTGAATTTGTCATCATTTCAGAGCGGTGACAGAGTGGTGTCACCTGGTATTGTTCATTCTGTGTGCTGGGGGTGCTGTGCCTGTTGAACAAACAGGTTCTTTCCACTTCTCTCCAAGGAATCCTTCCCAAACCGGTTGTGGGTAGGGGCCGTGTGAGTTTGCTTTCTAGAGAGGCCTCCTTTGGAGGTTTTCTCCCAAATTTGCCCTAAACCAGGACAAGTGGAATGACCAGGCTTGGAAGAGACCCTGAAGACCATCCCATCCCAGCTCCCAAAGGCGTGACTGGCGCTGGGGGATTGGGAAGAGAAGCGGCCACCACCTTACCCGAGTGCCCGTTGAACTTGCGGGACAGCAGCATGTCCTCGGTGATGTAGACACACATGTCGGGGCTCACCTCCATCTCCCCAGCCTGCTCCAGCTCCCGGGGGTCATCCACCAGCATCTCAATCTCTGCAGGGCACCAGCAGACAGGACAAGTCAGCCGTGCTCCTTTGGAGCACCTTCTGTCACATATTTTATGGAAAATCCTTTCTTTAGGAGATTTTCTCCTTGGAAGCTGGGAAGCTTCAGCTTCTCCATGTTTCGCTGCTTTGGAATGTGATTTGGAGAATTGTTTACCCAGCATGTGAAATTGTTTTTACTTGCTGACCAATGACAGCCACCTGTGTCGAGGCTGTGAGCAGTCACAAGATTTTATTATCATTCTTTTCTATTCCTTGCTAGCCTTCTGATGAAATTCTTTCTTCTATTCTTTTTTGTATAGTTTTATATAGTTTTATATAGTTGTATAGTTTTATATTATATTTTTATATAGTGTATATTGTTTTCTTTTCATATGATATATATCATAAAATAATAAATCAGCCTTCTGAAACATGGAGTCAAGATTCTCATCTCTTCCCTCAATAGTAACATCTAGCAGAAAGCAAATCTGCCATTTGTAGGAATAAATTGTGCGAGATGCTGTTAAAATAACAACTATTAGGAGCTGTTACCCCTCCTAAAGAAATCTCAAAAATATTAAAATCTTTAGTGTCTGACAACCTACAATAATCAGGACCTGGGACCCCTGCAAACCCCACCACACACTCTCCAACCAAGCACAGCACCTGGACAGCCTGTGATATTCACATGCCTCTGAACAGAGAGAAGCTGTGAGACGAGCAGAGAAGGAGAACTCAATTCTTATCTGGCTTGCTGTGCCTGTGTTGTGCTAAAGTAGAATGCAGTATGGAGATTGTTTACCCAAAGTGAGGATGTTTTGTTCCCTTGGCCTATCAGGGCCAGGTGTGTGTGTGTGCTGGACTGTCATGGGATAGTCATGAGAGAATCAGAGATGAGTGCAGTTTTGTGCAGCTGTGAGCAGACTGAGTGCATGGCAGATTCAGTTTAGATACAATGCTTACGGTAAGTGACAGGGCTAATATGAATAAGATTATGTTTATTACTCTTCTCTGGATTTAAACCAGATTCTAAGGATTGGAAGTAGATTCTAATTAATATACTAGAAGAGTAAGATCCTCATCAGTAGATCGAAATGTAGAGGAATAATCATACGACGCCTACGAAGTGTCAGTATCAGGCAGCTGCTTCAAACCCAAAGTGGTGATTTGATGTGAAGTAATAATAGTAATAACAAATACCATAGTAATAAATAGTAATAATAGTAATAATAAATAGTAATAATTAAAAACATAGTAATAATAAAGTAATTCATTAGCCTTCTGATGATGGAGTCTGTTCCAGATTGCAATGCAAGATGTTTTCAATCGCCATCTGTATGGCAGATTGCCTTTGTCCAGTGGGCAGTTTGCCTTTGAGTGACCACAATCACTTCTCCCTTGGGAGGGGACATCTGCTGATAACAGACCATTGAATGTCACTGCACGGCTGATAAGAACTACAGCATCCCATTGGGAGATGCTCTGCCCAGGGGGAGGAGCCAAGCATTGCTACCCAGATATAATCCAGAGGTTTTGAGACACGGGCATGGCTTTCTCCACTGGATTTCCCAGAGGAACAGCAGCTGCCTCTCCTTCCCCTGGATCTGCAGAGGAAGACTCCACCCTTCTCCAGGATCCCTGCTCCAGCAGAGCCACCCCTGGCACTGCAGGAGGGCTGAGCCACAATTCCAATGGGGCTGCTGCCAGCACCCTGACCCACAGGGTGTCAGGCTGGGCTCTGACTCTGGCACTGTTGTTCTAGTGCACTGCATTGTTTATTTTATCCTTTTATTTTTTTCCTTTCCCTATTAAAGAACTGTTATTTCCTGCTCCCATATTTTTTGCCTGAGAGCCCCCTTAATTTAAAATTTACAGCAATTCCGAGGGCTGGGGAGGGTTCACATTCTCCATTTCAGGGGAGGCTCCTGCCTTCCTTAGCAGGCACCTGTCTTTCCAAACCAAGACAAGTCAGATGCACCATTCTCTCTCCCCTTTGTCAGAGTCACCCTTGATTTACATAACAACCCAAGGTGGTGCCTCACCATCATCCTGGGAATCCTCCTCCAGCCGCTCCTTCCCGCCGCTCTCCACGCCCGAGGTGTGGGAGCTGCCGTGGCTGGTCATGGAGCTGCAGGTCTTCAGCTTGCGGTGGGCGCCGGCTCCAGAGAAGGCGTCCTCAGGCCCCATTTCCCTGGCCTTGGGGTCGGCCTCGATGCCGGAGGTGTGGGAGCTGCTGTGGGAGGCCGTGGAGTGCCGGGACAGCCGCTTGTGCCGGGCGCTGCCGGCGCTGCTGCCGCTGGCGCGGGAACGCTTCTCCAGCTGCTCCATGTCCAGGTCCAGCGTGTCGCTGATGTAGGACTCCCGGTACTGCTTCTTCTCTGCAGTGAGTAAAATATGCACAGACATGTTTTATGTAAAATCCCTTCATCAGGATTTTTCTCCTGAGAAGCCTCAGAGGAAAAGGAAAACAATAATTATCTGCTGCTGTGGAATGCAACAGGTGTGTCTTTGATTGGTCTCATGTTGGTTGGTTTTAATTAATGGCCAGTCCGGCTGTCTCGGACTCTCTGGTCAGTCACAAGACTTTATTATCATTTATTATCATTATTTATTATCATTTTCCATTTCTCTTCTCTTCTCTTCTTTCCTTGCTAGCCTTCTGATGAAATCCTTTCTCTATTCTTCTAGTACAGTTTTAGTATATAATTTTCTTTTCATATAATACATATCATAAAATAATAAATGAGCCTTCTGAAACATGGAGTCAAGATTCTCATCTCTTCCCTCATCCTGAGAACCCCTGTGAACACCATCACATTTGGTGAACCCTGAGTGAGGAGCATTCCCACATTTGGTGACCCCAAGTGAAGAAAAATTCCCCATTTGGTGACCCCCAGTGAAGAAAAATTCCACATTTGGTGACCACGAGCGAGTGGCATTGATTACCCCTTCATGGAGTCATCACCACAGGGGGAAAAGGAATCAGAGTGATTCCCATGACCTCCAGGGCAAACTGGACCCTCTGGAAGGGCGCGGATGTCCTGGCACACAGAGGAGTTGTCACCCGAGCCCTGGCACAGCTGGAGATGGGCTCTATCCCAGTGGCATCAGGGAAGGTGGGGCAGGAGCTCCAAAGCTCCTGTGCTGGGCTGTTCCTCCAACAGAGGAGGAGGAGGGAGAAGGGGAGGAGGAAGAGAAAGAAGAGATGTTTAGGAAGAAGAGAAAGAAGAAGACAGAAAATAAGGAGGAGCAGGAAAAGAAGAAAATTAGTGAGGAGGAAGAAGATGAGGATGAGATGGAAGAAGATGAGGATGAGAAGGAAGAAGATGAGGATAAGACGGAAGAACATGAGGAGTAGGAGGAGGAAGGGGATGTAACAAGGTGGAAGAACATGAGGAGGAAGAAGAGGAGAGGAAAGAGGAGAATAAGGAAGAGAAAGGAAGATGAGAAGAAGAAAGACAAGAAAGGAGCAAGAAGAGGAAGAGGAGGGAGAGGAAGAGAAAGAAGAGGAAGAGGAGGAGGAAGAGAAACAGGAAGAGAAGGAAGAGGAGGAAGAAAACAAGAGCAGAGTGGGATGAAGATGAGAAGGAGGAAGATGAGGAGGACATGAAAAAAAATATGAGGAGGATGGTGAGGAGGAGGAAAACACAAGAAGAGGAGAATAAAGATGAGAACAAGGAAGAAGATCAAGAGGACAAGGAAGAAAAAGATGAAAAGGATGAGAAAGAGGAAGATGAGGAGGATGAAGAAGAGTACAACAAGAACAAATAATAAAAGGAGGAAGAGGGGAAAGAGGAAGATGAGGAAGACAAAGAGAAGGTGAGAGGAAAGAAGAGGAAGAAGAGCTTATGCTTTCACAAGGATGAGGGACATGGAGAAAGGAACACACAAAAAAGATGAGAAAGAGGAAGGAGTTGAGGCAGATGAGGAGGATGAAGGAGTAGGACGAGAAGAACAAATGAGAAAAGAAGGAAGAGGGGAAAGAGAAAGATGAGGAAGAGAAAGAGAAGATGAGGAGAGGAAAGAAGAGGAAGAAGAGCTTATGCTTTCACAAGGTTGAGGGACACTGGGAAAGGGACAGATGAAAAGGATGAGAAAGAGGAATAAGTTGAGGCAGAATGAGGAGGATGAAGAAGAGCAGGACAAGAACAGATAAGAAAAGAAGGAAGAGGGGAAAGAGAAAGATGAGGAAGAGAAGATGAGAAGAGGAAAGAAGAACACCTTATGCTTTCACAGGGATGATGGACACTGGCAAAGCTGCGCTGAGACAGAACCGGGACGCCGGCGACGGCAGCAGGGCTCGCACCCACCCCACCACAGAAGAACCAGGAGCTCCCACAGGTGCCAACACCCCGCGGGGGCCCGTCCCGGTGCCTCTGGGGCCGGAGCACCTACCCTCGTTCTCCTCCAGCCGGCGCACCTGGCGCAGCACGGGCTGCAGGTTCATGTAGAGCCGGTGGCTGCTGCTGAGCAGCTGCAGGAGGTGGCGCGAGCGCAGCGGGCAGCCCGTGTAGTAGATGAGCTTCCGCGCCGAGGGCAGCCCGTCCGGCAGGATCTCGAACTTCTTGCCCTGCGTGGGACAAAGGGAGGTGTCAGCCCCAGGGAGGAGGAGGCTCCAGTTCTCACCCAGCCCCGCTGCAGCTCCTCAGGGACCCCCTCAGTGGGTTGTTGTCACCTGCTGCGGGTCGGTGTTAAAGAGTCCCGCACCCTGCCTGGGGACGGCGGAATCACTGAGGGGTTTGGGGTGGAAGGGACCTTAAAAAACACCTAGACCAACCCCCTTCCACCTTCCACTGTCCCAGGGTGCTCCAAGCCCCATCCAGCCTGGCCTTGGGCACTTGCAGGGATCCAGGGGCAGCCACAGCTGCTCTGGCAATTCCAGCCCAGCCAGGAATTCCCAATTCCCAATCTCCCACCCATCCCTGCCCTCTGGCACTGGGAGCCATTCCCTGGCTCCTGTCCCTCCATCCCTTCTCCCCAGTCCCTCTCCAGCTCCCCCTGGAGCCCCTTCAGGCCCTGCCAGGGGCTCTGAGCTCTCCCTGGAGCCTTCTCCTCTCCAGGTGAGCACCCCCAGCTCTCCCAGCCTGGCTCCATAGGAAAGGGTGCTCCAGCCCATGGAGCATCTTCTGTGGACCAAGAGCTCCATGTCCTCCCTGTGCTGAGGACCCTGGAGCTGGAAGCAGTGCTCCAGGTGGAGATGGTGGCACTCACCACAAACACCAATTTCCCCACATTTGTCCATGGGAAATCGTACAGCAGCTGCTTTTCCTCATCCAGGTTCTGCAAAAAGAGGAGAGGGAGGCATGGCTGAGGATTCTGGCAGGGGCATGGAGCTGGGCTGAGCCATCACCTTCATCACCTACCTGGAAAATCTGAATGCCCCGTGTTGTCAGCCCCAGAGTCAGGGAGGCCTCCACTTCCCTTTTGTCCTAAGGGGGAAAAAATGCTTTTAAATACACAATTTCCAGCATGAAGTGGTTAAATCCACCCCACCTCAGCCCAGGGATCCTCCCACAATCACCCCAGCCACCATTCTATGATTAATGTGCCAAATTGAAAATGGAAAGTGACTTTGGACACGGGCAGAGAGTGACAGGATAAGGGGGAATGCTTTTGAACGAAAAGAGAAGAGGTTTAGATTAGATGTGAGGAAGAAATTATCCCTGTTGATTTCAGCACATCTGTGATGTCAGCAAGGCCTGTGAGGGTGGGCAGGCCCTGGCACAGGGTGCCCAGAGCAGCTGTGGCTGCCCCTGGATCCCTGGAAGTGCCCAAGGCCAGGTTGGAGCAGCCTGGGATGGTGGAAGGTGTCCCTGCCCATGGCAGGGGTGGCACTGGATGAGCTTTAAGCTCCCTCCCAACCCAAACCATTCTGATCAAATGGTTTTTTAACCATTAATTAATTAAATTTAATTAATTAAAACACCTCACGCTCTCCCAGCAAACAAACTGCTTTATTCCCAGGAGAGAAAAAAACAGCATTTATTTCCCAGGGAGAGCATTCCCAAAGTTCAGATCCCAGCAGCCAGAGGGCCAGGGCTCACCTTGTACAACCTGTAGTAGTGCACGGCCACGTCGTCCAGCCTGACAGCCTCCTTGATGTACTTGAGATGGGCCTCTGAGGCTGTCAGGGCAAACTGGTCCTTGTGCATGTTGGGGACGTGCTTCAGGATGTAATCCTTGCCCCTCTTGGCAACCACCTGTTTGGGGAGGGAGAGAAGCTCGTCCAGCTGCCCCGTGCTGGCTCCTGGGAGTGGTGCTTTCAAGGGAAAAGGGCAAATTGGAGCTTTGTTCTAGAGACCTCCAAGCAAAAATGAAATCATTACAGCAGCCAGTGACTTCTTGCCAGCTGGATTTCCTGCTGGGAATTGTGCTCCATGTGGCCATTCCATGGTGGCACCTCTGCTGGGGCACTCATGTGGCTGGGGACACAGGCCCAGGGCCACCATGCCTCAGTGAGGTGTGTGAAAAAAGGAGAAATGGGCAGATTTTGGGACAAATCCAAGGAAAGAGGTTGGGAAGGAGAAGAAAAAGCACCAGGGAGAGCTTTGAGCACCTGAAGGGGCTGCAAAAGAGCTGGAGAGGGGCTGAGGACAAGGGATGGAGGGACAGGACACAGGGAATGGCTCCCAGTGCCAGAGGGTAGGGATGGATGGGAAACTGGGAATTCCTGGCTGGGCTGGAATTGCCAGAGCAGCTGTGGCTGCCCCTGGATCCCTGGAAGTGCCCAAGGCCAGGCTGGACACTGGGGCTGGGAGCAGCCTGGGATGGTGGAAGGGTCCCTGCCCATGGCAGGGGTGGCACTGGATGAGCCTTAAGGCCCTTCCAACCCAAACCACTCTGGGATTCTGTGCCACCAGGTCCCAAAGGGCTCCACCTGATGCTGGTGGGGCAATGACCCCAGGAGCATCCCTGCAGCTCACAGGGAATTCCCCAGCAGCCCCAACCCACAGCTATTCCCACCCCCACAGCTCTCCTGTCACCATGATATTCTCTGAAAAATCCCTTTGCTGGGATTTCTTCTCCTGGCAAGCTGAGAGGCCTCAGAAAAGAATGAAAACAAGAATTATCTGGTTGTTTGGGAATGTGGTTTGGAGATCATTTACCAACAGCTGCATCTTTGATTGGTTCCATGTGAGTTGTTTTTAATTAATGACCAATCACCATCAGCTGTGTCGGACTCTGAGGAATCAGTCACAGAGCTTTCATTATCATTCTTTTCTAGCCTTCTGATGTATCCCTTCTCTTTCTTTAGTATAGTTTTAGTATATACTATACTATAATATATACTATAATATACTATATTAGTAATATATATATTACTAAAATATAGTAATATATTAGTAATATATATATTACTAATATATATATTATTACTACTTATAATATATATTATAAGTATTATAATATATAGTAATATAGTAATATATATAGTAATATATATAGAGAGTAATATATTACTATATATAATATCATATATATTATATATAGTAATATATTACTATATATAATATATATAAGTAATATAGTATATTATATTACTATATACTATAGTGTATATAGTAATATAATGTAATGCTATAATGTAATATACTATATTGTAATATGATATAATGTGATATAATATAATATAATATAATATAATATAATATAATATAATATAATATAATATAATATAATATAATATAATATAATATAATATAATATAATATAATATAATATAATATAATATAATATAATATAATATAATATAATATAATATAATATAATATAATATAATATATCAGCCTTCTGAGAACTTGGAGTCTCATCTCTCCCCTCCTCCTGGGAGCCCTCACAAGCACCACACTGTCCCAGGTTATTTCCAAGCAGGACTAACCCAGGATGCAGCCAGAGCAGCCCAGAGCAGGGAGCAGAGCAGGATTCCTTACCCAGGCAGGGAAATAGGCCTCGGGCTCGAAGTATTTCCCGTAGTGCTTGTTCCTCTTGAAGTCCCCCAGGTCGGCTTGGAGGGCGAAGGCAGTGAGCAGGAAATAAGCCTCTTCCCTCAGCACACACTGGGAGTGCAGCACCTGCTTCCTCAGGTGCCAGTAGTAGTAGTACCGAGCTGTCCTGTCACTGGGGAGGGACAGGGGACACAGAGGGGAAATTTTCCAGACTGGAAATCTGTCACAGACATCTTTTATGAAAAATCCTTTCCTTAAGATTTTTCCTCCTAAAAAAGCTGAGGAGCCTCAAGTACAAAATGTAAACAATGGTTATCTGCTGCTGTGGAATGCAACAAGTAGATCTTTGATTAGCCCATGTTGGTTGTTTCTAATTAATGGCCAATCACAACCCAGCTGGCTCGGACTCTCTGTCCAAGCCACAAGCCTTTGCTATAATTCTTTCTTCTTTGCTAACCTGATAAAATCCTTTCTTCTATTCTTTTAGTATAGTTTTAATATAATATATATCATAAAATAATTAATCAAACCTTCTGAAACACAGAGTCAGATCCTCGTCTCTTCCCTCATCCTAAGACCCCTGTGAACACCGTCACAGAAATCCATTTTGATTTAGGTGAAATGTGCATCTTTGAGTTAAGTCTGTAGTTTGAAAACATAGCTGTTTAGTCTGACTACCTGTTCTGGTAAAAAACCTATGCTCAGAGAAACTGCTTCAGCCAAAGGACAGAGGTAAGGGGGGCAGACAAAAAAACCAGAAAGACTGCAACAAAAGCAGGTCAACCTGACCCAGGAATTCTTTCTGATAATAAAGAATTAGCAGCAAATGTAACATAAAATCAGTAAAAATAAATATGTATAAACCTATTGTGAAATTGCATGCATATGTATTTGAGAGGAAGATAAAAAAGGATCTGGAGTTCCCAGAGGTGCCTGTGTCCTTTAAGGAGAGTAATTTCCACATGTGTCCAGCGCTGTAATAAACATACCAGCTTTACAGCTTTCACAAAGTTGTGGAGTTTGTTTGCCTCTGCAAAACACAGGGGACACAGGGAGGAGTCAGCAGCCAGGGGACACCAGCTGGGCAGCCCTCAGGGAGGGGGCACCAAAAGGTTTTGCTCCCTCTTTTCTATTTGTTAAAATTTGTCAAAATTTGTTAAAATTCTGCAAACATGCAGCTGCTTCACCAGCCAGGTGGAGAAACCCCCTCAAAAAGTCTGTGCAGATGTCACTGTGTCCCCAAAGCCCTCAGGCCATCATTTTAGCCCCAAAGCAGGAGCTGCAGCTCCCACCCAGCCGTGGGTAAGTTCATATCAGGCTGTGCTAAACCCCTAAACACATCATCCCCTGTGGAAGTCACATTCTCTGGAAAAATCCCTTTTGCCCAGGATTTTTCTCCTGGGAAGCTGAGAAGCCTCAGGGAAAAAGGAAAACAATAATTGTTTGATTTGCTTCTCCTGTGTTTTGCTGCTTTGGAATGTGTTTGGCGATTGTTTACCCACAGGTGATTGTTCCATTGGATTTTTGGTGAGTGTTTTGACTCATTGGCCACTCTGGGCCAAGCTGTGTCAGACTCTGGAAAGTTTTCATTATTATCTTTTTAGCCTTCTGTCTGTATCCTTTCTGTATTCTTTAGTATGGTATGGTTTAGTATTCTTTAATATAATATAGCATCTTAAAATAATAAATGAGCCTTCTGAGAGCATGGAGTCAGATTCATCATTCCTTCCTTCGTCTGGGGGCAACCCAAATACAATAACCCCCAAATAAAACCCCCCAAAAGGCTTTGTCTGGGGGAAATGTCCCCAGCTGGCCCTGTCAGAAACCACTCAGCACCCACCCATAACCAGCCCCAGCTTTTAGGGTGTGCTCAGCACCCCAGGAGGATCCCAGTCACCCCTGGAGGGGAACAGCCACCCCAGGAGGGGCACAGGCATGCCAGAAGGATCCCAGCCATCCCAGGAGGGGCACAGCCACACCAGAATGGGCACAGCCACTCCAGAACGGGCACAGCTACCCCAGGATGGGCACAGCCATCCCAGGAGGATCCCAGCCAGCCCAGGAGGATCCCAGCCACTCCAGGAGGTGCCCAGCCATGCCAGGAGAGGCACAGCCACCCCAGGAGGGGAACAGCCATCCCAGGAGGGGCACAGCCATGCCAGGAGGGGCACAAACACCCCAGGAGGGGCACAAACACCCCAGGAGGTGCCCAGCCATGCCAGGAGATGCACAGCCACGCCAGGAGGGGCACAAACACCCCAGGAGGATCTCAGCCATCCCAGGAGGGGCACAGCCACACCAGAACGGGCACAGCTACCCCAGGATGGGCACAGCCATCCCAGGAGGATCCCAACCACCCCAGGAGGCGCCCAGCCATGCCAGGAGAGGCACAGCCACCCAGGAGGTGCCCAGCCACCCCAGGAAGTGCCCAGCCCCAGCAGAGGGGCCCGGGCAGGGGCACTCCGTACCTGATGAGCCGCCCGTTCTCCACGTAGTACTGCACTCGGAAGTGGATGATCATGGGGGGGCCAAACTGGTCGATGCCCTGGAATGGAGGCGGTTTTCAGGAATGCCCTGGGGATCCCAGCATCACACCCCAGCCCCTCTCCTCATCTCTTTGGGGTCATGGCTGTCACAGCCACCCCTTGTCCCCCAGGGCACTGATGGAGTTTTTGTTCCTCAGTTAAGAGTTTGGTGCCCATTTTTCCATGTAAAATGCTGGAAATGAAGGGGATTTGGATTTTAAAAGGCTGGGTGTGACAAGCCCAGGTGTTCTGCAACACCTCAGTGCTGCTCTCCCTCTCCCAGACCATCATCCACCAGCAGTCAAGCCTGGACACCACCCCCTGAGCACTGAAAGAATGAAAAGGTGCTCTGGGGAGAAAAAACCCAAACTGATGTCAGAATTTGAAAGAAGGGACCTCAAAAATTCTGCTGAAGGATAAGGGAGGAAAAGAAAAATCAGAGGGGAAAAAACCCCCAGAACTCCAGGGACAGAGCATGGAGGACACATCCCAGCTGGGGCACATGGTGGCACTCAGAGTGACAAGCCCAGGGCTGTGGTTTTGCACATCCACCCCCAGCCCCACAGTGACCAAGTGCCCCCCCCACCCCTTGGCAGCATTCCCGGGTCCTGGGAGTGACCTGTGATGGGGACAGAGGTGGCCTCAGCTCTCCATGCAAGACCTCACCGCTGACCTTGCTGGCCTCCTTCTTCCACTCCTTGGGGCAGTACTTGTAGAGCTTCTGGGCCAGGTCCATGTACACATGCTCATTGTCTGTGAGGGACAGAGGTGGCATCAGCATCCCCACGTGTCCCCCTGCCTCCCAGTGTGACCCATTGGTGAGAGGGAATGGGGAATTGTGAGTTCCTTGCCATCAAAAATGGTAATTTTCACACTCAGGCCCTTGACTTACTCTGGATGACGCTGAGCCCGAAGAGGTGACAATCCTTCAGCCTCAGCAGGTCACACACCTGCACCAGTAACTCTTGGCACAAAATCTTCACCTGTTAAAAAAACCCAAACCCTTAAATGAGGCCTGGAAGCATCTGTGCCCACCAAACCCCTCAGCAGGACCCCGAGCAGGGTGGGGGTGACAGGATGGGCTGTGGGGCTCAGCTGTGGCCCCAAAGCCTGGAGCAGAGCTCTGCCAGGGCTGGGATGCTCAGAGGACCACGGGGCAGCTCAAGAGCAGTGGTTGATGGAGGAACCCAGCACTGGGGAGAAGTTTTGGGGGCAGAAATCAGAACATTCACAGTCTCATCCCACCCCACAGACACCTTCCACCATCCCAGGGTGCTCCAAGCCCATCCAACCTGGCTTTGGACACTTCCAGGGATCCAGGGGCAGCCACAGCTGCTCTGGGAAACCTGTGCTAGGGCCTCCTCACCCTCCTAGGCAAGGATTTATTCCTATTATCTAATCTAAATCTTTCCTCTTTAAGTTTAAAACCATTCCCCTTAGCCCCTATAAGGATAAGGGGAATGGTTTTAGATTAGAGGAGGATATCATTATCCACCTCTTTCCATCTTTTTTTATAAGCTCCCTTTAAGTCCTGAAAAGAATTTCAACATTTTCCTGACTCAAAAGCAAGATTGGGTGAGGGTGAATAAACAAAAAAAAAAAACCACACAAAACAACAAAAAGTGGGGGAATTTCACATTCAATGCTCATCCCAATCAGAGCCAAACCCCCTCCTGTTTATTCCCTGGGCTAGAGGAGGCTGAAGAGCCACCCAGAAGGGACTGGTGCAGTGATGGGGCTCATGGCATGCTGTGGGATGCCAAGCAGCTGGTCACCCTCCCCAAACCCAGCATATCACATGGACCAAGGAGACTCAGGAGAGCCTGAAACACCACTGCAACCCCCAGGGGAATAACCCACGTGCACTTCCCCGGCAGAGCAAGGCCAGGCAGGCTCCAGAGGAAACCCAGGGTGTGCGAACACAACCTCAGGGGGTGAGGCAAGTGTCAAGCTCAGGAGGAGGAGGAGGTTCCTTACGTTGATGATGATGTTGAGGGAGTCGTCGTTGGGGAGGAAGATGCACACGCTGCGCCGGTCCTGCATGACTCTGTTGTTGTGGAAGGGCAGCTTGTTCATGGTGCTCTGGCCTGGGGGCTCGGGGGGGCTGCTGGGGGCACCTCACCGGCGGGCCGGGGCGGCCTCGGGCTCTGTGGGTGCCATCCCTGGGGAAAACAGGGGGGATGAGCCCTGGGCAGGGCACCCTCTGCTCCCCAGCTGCATCCCCCAGCCCTGCCACCCACCAGCACATCCCACACGGTGTGGGCTCATGGTTGGGGTGTCCCCCTGCTCCAGATTGCCAGGCAAGATGGATTCTATCAACATCTGTGTGGCAGCTGTCCTCTGCTCATTGGGCAGTTCTTCCTTATCTCTTCCAGACTCACTCCTCCCTCGGGGACACATCTGCTGATAACAGCCATGGAATGTCCCTGCATGGCTGATAAGAACTACAGCATCCCATTGGGAGATGTGAGCCCAGAGGGAGGAGCCAAGCATTCCTCCCTGGATAGAATCTGGAGATTCTGGATCTCTGGATCCAGCTTCTGCACTGGATTTCCCAGAGGATTTCCCTCTTCCCCTGGATCTGCAGAGGAAGCCTCCACCCTTCTCCAGGATCCCTGCTCCAGCAGAGCCACCCCTGGCACTGCAGGAGGGCTGAGCCACAATTCCAATGGGGCTGCTGCCAGCACCCTGACCCACAGGGTGTCAGGCTGGGTTCTGACTCTGGCACTGTTGGTTTGGTTCACTGCATTGTTCATTTTATCCTTTTATTTTCTTCCCTATTAAAGAACCGTTTTTCCTGCTCCCATATTTTTGCCTGAGAGCCCCCTTTATTTAAAATTTATAGCAATTCAGAGGGAGGGGGTTCACATTCTCCATTTCAGGGGAGGCTCCTGCTTTCCTTGGCAGAGACCTGGCTTTCCAAACTCAGACACCCCCAAAACCCCTGAGCACACCTCACCCCACCTCAGCCACCCCACCACAGCCACCCCCATGGTTTTAGGCCCAGCCCCAAAAACCTGAGCCAGCAGTTTGATTGTCCTGGCTCAGGCTCAGGAAAACCTCAGGAAAGGCTTTTCTGGTATAATTAAAATAAACAGAAGTTTATCCACTGGGAATAACCCGGTTGGGACAGCAAGGAGCAGTGCTGCAAGCAGGAGGTTTCCCTGCCAGCCATGGAAAGGCAAGAAAATGCTGTGGGGTCTCCTAAGAGGATCCCAACATCCCTTCCAACATCCTTCCCCCAGTTCTGACTCTTCACTGGGGTGGAATAAAACAATCCAAGCACCAGCAGGGATTTGCAGACTGGAATTGACATTCAGAACCAACAAATCCATCCGAACACTGACCCCAGGAAACTCTCATTTCCGAGGGTGAATATTCCCAAAGCACTTTTTACCCCACCATCCCTGAGGACACAAATTCCCACGTGACACCATGAGGAAGGACTTTAAACTCTGACCTAGTTCAGCCTTTTCCAAGCCCAGATTTACACTGGCAGACGACAGCAGAGTGTCTCCCTTGCCACCAAATATTTGCTTTGGTCTAAATGGAAGCGCCTTTGGCTTCCGAAAGCCTGGAATTCCCGCAGCAGCACGGGGAAAAATGCCCTGAGGTGACTTTTTGTTGGTGGTTCCTGGGGTTCTGCAGAAGTTGGGAAATCCGGAGGTGATGCTTTCCCACAGCCAGGGCACTCTGGGACTGCAGCACAGAGGCTGCATCCCAGCGTCGTGGATTCTGGATTGCAGATGTGCATTGCATCCATGCATTGCATTCCTGCCTTGGGATGGTGCATTGCATCCATGCATTGCACCCATGCATCGTGCTGGTACATCACAGATTCTCTGCCTTGCATCTGTGCGGATCAGGGCCCTCCGCTGCATCCATGCATCTTGGATTCTGGATCTCACATGTGCATTGCATCCATGCATTGCATTCATGCCTTGAGATGGGGCATTGTGGCCATGTATTGCATCCATGCATTGCATGCCTGCATCCCGGCCATGCACTGCATCTTCACGTTGCACCCATGCATGTTGGTGGTACATCATGGATTCTCTGCATTGCATCTGTATGCATCACGGCCCTCCACTGCATCAATGCATTGTGGCATCCATGCATTGAGCTGGAACATCATGGCACCTATGCATTGAATCTGTGCAGCACAGATGTGCAACCTGGCCATGCATTGCACCCACACGTTGCGTCCATGCATTGTGGCATCCACGTATTGAGTTGCAACCTCATGGCATCCATGCAGTGCAACCATGCATTGCAGCAGTGCATCATGGCATCTGTGCACTGCAGCACTGCAGTGTGTCAGCCATAAATTGAGCTGGAACATCATGGCATCCATTCACTGCATCCATGCAGCACAGATGTGCAACCTGGCCATGCATTGCACCTACGCATTACACCTGTGCACTGTGGCATCCATGCATTGAGCTGGAACATCATGGTATCCATGCAGTGCACCTGTGCATTGCAGCAGCGCATCATTGCACCTGTACATGGCATCAGTGCATTGTGGCATCCATAAATTGTGTTGGCATCTCATGGCATCCATGCAGCAAACTGGCCGTGCATTGCACCTACACATTGCACCCATGCATTATGGCATCCATGCATTGGGCTGGAACATCATGGCACCAGTGCATTGCATCTGTGCATTGCATCAATGCATTGTGGCACCCATGCATTGAGCTGGAACATCATGGCACCTATGCATTGAATCTGTGCAGCACAGATGTGCAACCTGGCCATGCATTGCACCTACACGTTGCGTCCATGCATTGTGGCATCCACATATTGAGTTGGAACCTCATGGCATCCATGCAGCGCACCTGTGCATTGCAGCACTGCACTGGGGCATCCATAAACTGTGCTGGAGCCTCATGGTATCCATGCATTGCATCCATGCATTGCACCTACACGTTGTGTCCATGCATTGTGGCATCCATACATTGAGTTGGAACATCGTGGCACAAATGCATTGCACCTGGGCATTGCAGCACTGCACTGTGGCATCCACAAATTGTGCTGGAGCCTCGTGGTATCCATGCATTGCATCCATGCATTGCACCTACACATTGCACCCATGCATCGTGGCACCCATGCAGTGCATCCCTGCAGCACAGCTCTGCACTGTGCCTGGCCCCTCTCCATGGTATCCACGCCCTGAGGCCGTGGCCGATCCCGACGGGAGCCAGGTTGGTTTCAGGGCTCACTGAAGATCCCAAGAAGATCCTGGTGCTCACAGAGCGGGGCTGAAGGAATCTGGCACATCCTGGCCCAGCTGGGCACCGGCAGCTCCCGGGCACCGTTGGGATGTGGCTTGTGAGGGCTGGGCTGGGGAGGGGCCATGTTCCCGGCAAAGCAGCCGTGTCCCAGGGCTCCTGCAGCACCCTCCGTGTCCTGCTCCTACCCACAGGCTCCTCGACTCCCAGGGGGGCACCAGAGCTTCTTCCCGAGCCAGCTCAAAATTCCAGGCATGGGCAGCACCCACTGCTGAGCTACTGGAGAATCCATCCCTGGGATTCTCTCCCCCACATGGGCAGGAACACTTTCCACCATCCCAGGGTGCTCCAAACCCTGTCCAACATGGAAAACTTCCAAGGATGGGGCAGCCTCAGCTCCTCTGGGCAGCCTGTGCCAGGGCCTCTCCTTCCTCACAGCCAAGAATTCCTTCTCAATATCCCAACTAACCCTGCCCTCTGCCAGTTTGAGACCATTCCCTCTTGTCCTGTCACTCTCTGGCATTCTGGGGCTGTTCATCCCCACACCAGTCCCTGCATTTCCTCCTCCTCCTCCTGCAGCCTGGATTGATCCCAGAGCACCAGGGATTAAACCACACGAGCTGGCGTCAGCAGAGCAGGGACATGGGAGAGGAAAAAACCACCCAAGCCCAAACCCTATATTTTGGTATTTGTATAGAAAACATCCCAGCTCCTGCTGCTGAGTGGGAACATTCCATCAGCCCACCACACAGGGACGGTCCCTATGGAGATTCCCTCAGCTCCAGGTGCTTCCTGGGGGCTTTGGCAGCCCTGGGAGGTGCAGGGATTCAGCAGGGGACACACAAAGCCCTTTCCAGGGTGCTGTGCCTGCAGCAGCCCTGGCCAGACGCCGGGAAATTCTTTCCAAGCATCTGCTGCTCATTGCCACAATGTGGGCTTTGATTCCCTGGGACCCCGCGCCGCTGCCCTCAGCGAGTCCCTGCTGCTCCAGAGGAAGTGCTGATAGCAGGCACAAACATGGAAGCATGGAATGGTTTGGGTTGGAAAGGACCTTTAAAGATCTAGCCCAACCTTCTGGGCTCCAAGCTGGAAATATGGATTGGAGGGAGAGCCTCCCTGGATTGCCCCACAGCAGATGGGGTGACACAGATCACTCCACACTCCAAGCAGGAACCTCCACCCCAGGCAGTCTTCCAAAGGGTTTTTCCATCCAAAGTCAGCTGGACAAAACACCGGGAATGAGGGCTTGGGCATGGATCAGCAGAGTGAGGAGATCCAGGTTTTCCAGCCATGTTTTCCCTGCTACGGGGAAAAGAGCATTAAAACTCCATAGAAAGGCACTGCAAAGTGCTCATGACTCCAGAGTTGAGAAAATTCCTTGATCCACTGTGTTTTCCAGGCCCAGGCTGCTGGAATATTGTCTCCCTCCCTGGTGCTGATGCCATGGGATAAATCCTGTCACAAAGCTCGGCTGCAAAGAAAACATCCCACAAAAAACCTGGGAAAAGCAGCCGGGGCTGGCGCTGCTGACTCGGCGAGGGATTTGTTCATCCCAGGGTCCTGCAAACACATCCGAGGGCAGGCAGAGCCTGGGATTGGTTCACATGGAGATGCTGGAGCAGGATCTCGGCAGAAATAGAAATTTGGATGTAATTCCAGGGTGGGGATTGAACATGGTTTGAACTTGCTGGCTGAGGTGGGGTTTTCTTCCAGATTCCGTGCGTGTGAAGCGAGGCTGGGTGGATGGGCAGCATTTTTCCCTCTTCGTGGATTTAAATGGATTTAAAAGAAGCTGATGAGTCTCCATCCTCGTGGGTTTGGGTCAGGTTTGTCCCTCTGTGG